TTTTTGAAACACAGTCTTACTATGCTGCCCTTGGCAGAGTGCTATGGCGTCATAGCTCACAGCAACCTCAAACACTTGGGCTTAAGTGATTTTCTTGCCTCAGTCTCCCAAGTATCTGGGACTACCACCTGCCACAATGCCCAGCTATTTTTGTTGTTGTTGTGTCATTGTTGTTTAGCAGGCCTGGGCTGAGTTCGAACCTGCCAGCCCCAGTGTATGTGGCCAGCAGCCTAACCACTAAGCTACGGGTGCCAAGCCTAGTTTTCTCTATTTTTAGTACACATGAGTTCGTGCTCTTGCTCAGGCTGGTCTCAAATTCCTGAGTTCAGGCCATTCACCTACCTTGGCTTACCAGAACTAGGATTATGGGTGTGAGCCGCCATGCCCAGCCTTTAGACACTGTGCAATTTACTGCCAGGGGGAGTTAGGAGATGTTAGTATTAAAACCAGAAGCTGGCTTGGTGCTTATAGCTCAGCAGCTAGGGTGTCAGCCACGTATACTGGAGGCTGGTGGGTTTGAATCCAGCCCGGGCCTACCAAACAACAATGACAACTACAACCAAAAAATAGCTGGGCATTGTGGTAGGTGCCTGTAGTCGCAGCTAGTTGGGAGGCTGAGGCAAGAGATTCACTGAAGCCCAAGAGTTTGAGGTTGCTGTGAGCTCTGAGGACACAGTATTCTATTGAGGGTGGCATAGTTAGACTCTGTCTCAAAAAAAAAAAAAAAAAAAACAGAAGCTGATGGGAGGCTGAGGCAAGAGAATTGCTTAAGCCCAGGAGTTTGAGGTTACTGTGAGCTATGATGCCACAATATTCTACTGAGGGTGACATAGTGAGACTGTCTCAAAAAAAAAAAAACCAAAAAACAGAAGCTTGGCTGGGTGCCTGTAGCTCAGCAGATAGGGTGCCAGCCATATACACTGGAGCTGGTGGGCTCGAATCCAGCCCGGGCCTGCTAAACAACAATGACAACTACAACCAAAAAATAGCTGGGCGTTGTGGCAGGCGCCTGTAGTCTCAGCTACTTGGGAGGCTAAGGCAAGAGAATGGTTTAAGCCCAAGAGTTTGAGGTTGCTGTGAGCTGTGATGCCACTCTCCCAAGGGCGACAAAGTGAGACTCTGTCTCAAAAAATCAGAAGCTGAATACATACAGATTGGCGAGGTACTCTATATAGCGGGTACCAGTTTAATTCACAGTGACACATTTGGGGATCTTTGAAATGAAGTGCTGAAGGAGGAGGAAGAGTTGGGGAAGACCCTTTTCTCCCCCTTCCATTATTGCACTGGGCTTTCCTTTCTCTTGAGCTGTGGGAATAGCTTCCTAACAAGTCTTTGTACCTCCATTTTCAGCGTCTATAATCCATTCTACTCACCTCCACCAGGATATTTCAAATGTCTGTTACTTGTTACTGCTTCCTTACTGCTGCCTCTAGGCTGGAGTCCAATCTAATAAGCAATCACATGGGGCCAGTTGGGGTCCAAGTTGTGTTCACCTGCCTCATCTTCCACCTACCCTGCCTCATGCACTCTGCCTTCAGAATACATCGTAAATCTGACCCCCTCACTGCCTCGCTGCTGCCATCCTAGTCCAGCTTGCCCTTTTTTGCTTGCTGGGCCCCTTCAAAAATAGACAGCACAGCCTCCCTGGGGCCACTCCTGCCCTGTTGCAGTTTTCTTCACACACAGCCAGTGATCTTTTCAAAACAAGTAGATCAAATCCTTCAGTGGCTTTTCTGTCACACCTGGAATAAAATCCAGGATCCTTGTAGAATGAGAAAGAAAATCTAGGCTGGGAGCAGTAGCTCATGTCTGTAATCTCAGCACTCTTGTAGGCTGAGGCAGCTGGATTGCCTGAGGTCAGGTATTCGAGACCAGCTTGAGCCAGAGTGAGACCCTGCCTGAGCTACAGCGAAATCCTGTCTCTAAAAATAGCCAAGTGTTGTGACAGACGCCTGTAGTCTAGCTACTCAGGAGGCTCAGGCAAGAGAATCACTTGAGCCCCGGAGTCTGAGGTTGCTGTGAGCTATGACAGCACGGCATTCTACCCGGAGCAAGAAAGTGAGACTCTGTCTCAAAAAAAAGAAAATCCAGAATCTTGCATAGTCTGGCCCCTTTAGGCTCCCTGACCTGTCCATCCCTTTCCCTCTGCTTTCCGAGTGGTTTCCAAGTGGACTGTCCCTCCTACTGCTTGGTATACCCTGCCCCACATCTTCCTGTGTTCCATACTTCCTCCTTCACCGCACCTTCTAGCACTTTCATTGCTCCCAGCCCCTTTATTCTCTCTCCTACGTCACAGCTAGTCTGTCTTTGGCATGTGGGGCAAACACCAGTGTTTGGTGTGGTGTCATCTCTCTTGAGTGAGTCTTTCTTCCTTTGGTCCAGGTCTTCCACTTTGAGGCCCCAGCACAGGGCCTGGCACAGAGGAGGCCTCAGCATTTGTTGAAAGAAAAATAAGGAAGTTAACCTTTGGTCTCTTTATTTGATGTAGATTCTTCTCTAAGCATCTTTTTTTTTTTTTTGAGACAGCGTCTCACTTGGTTACCCTTTGTAGAATGCTGAGGCGTCATAGCTCACAGCAACCTCAAGCTCTTGGGCTCAAGTGATCCTCTTGCCTGAGCCTCCAAAGTAACTGAGACTACAGGTATCCACCATAATACCCGGCTATTTTTTAAAGACGGGGTCTTGGTCTTCCTCAGGCTAGTCTTGAACTCCTGAACCCAAGCAATCCACCCGTCTTCGCCTCCCAGAGTACAAGGATTACAGGCGTGAGCCACTGCACCCAGCTTTGTCTTCTATTTTTGGCTTATTTTCTCCCAGCTTGACTTTTTCTTTTTTCTTTTGGAGACAGGGTCTTATGTACAGTGGCCTAATCATAGCTCACTGCAGCCTTGAACTCCTAGGCTGATGTGATCCTCCTGCCTCAGCCTGCTGAGTTAGCTGGCTACAGGCATATGCCCCCATGCTCAACTAATTTTTAAAAGTTAAAAAAATATTTTTAATGGCAGAGGTCTTGTTATGTTGCCAGTCTGGTCTCAAACTCCTGCCTTCGGGTGATGCTCCTGCCTTCCTACCTCAGCCTCACAGAGTGCAGGGATTACAGGCGTGAACCACTGTGGCTAGTCTGTTTTTAATATATATACATGTCACTCTGAAATCTATTTAAGAATTTTGTTGTACCAGTGAAGCATTCATTTAGATTCCTCTTTACTTCTTCCAAATGCGATCTAATTATTGTATCATGAAGTGCTTTTCTTAAAATTATAGAACATTTTTATTTTTCAGAAACAAGAGTTGAAATAAAAGAATCTGTTCGTGGCCAAGATATTTTCATTATACAGACAATACCCAGGTAAGAGTTAGGACAACTTTATGTAACCCTTTTCCCCTAAAACCCTGAATTCGGCTCGTCACCTGTAGCTCAAGTGGCTAGGGCACCAGCCACATACACTGGAGCTGGCAGGTTCGAATCCAGCCCCAGCCTGCCAAACAACAATGACAACTGCAACAAAAAATTACTGACTGTTGTGGCAGATGCCTGTAGTCCCAGCTACTTGGGAGGTGGAGGCAAGAGAATCTCTTAAGTCCGAGAGTTTGAGGTTGCTGTGAGCTGTAATGCCACGGCACTCTATCCAGGGTGACAGCTTGAGACTCTGTCTCAAAAAAGAAAACAATAAATAATAAATAAATAAAACCCTGAATTGATACAATTCATTATCTTTACATACAAACAACAATTCAGGTTTTTTAAAAAAATATATACATTTGGGGCAGCACCTGTGGCTTAGTGGAGTAGGGCGCTGGCCCCATATACTAAGGGTGGTAGGTTCAAACCCAGCCCCGGCCACACTGCAACAAAAAAATAGCCGGGCATTGTGGCAGGCGCCTGTAGTCCCAGCTACTCGGGAGGCTGAGGCAAGAGAATTGCCTAAGCCCAGGAGTTGGAGGTTGCTGTGAGCTGTGATGCCACGGCACTCTACTGAGGACGATAAAGTGAAATTCTTGTCTCTTAAAAAAAGACACACACAGGTACACACACTCACACACACATTTGTTTGCATGTAAATATGTAAAATGCTTCCCAAAGTATGGCTGTGGTTTTCTCAAGTTTCTACCCTGTTTGTCACATGTACTGTTACCTGTTTACGTGATCATCCCCCGAGCTCTAAACTCCCAAGGACAAAACCCCTTGCCATGGCCTGTGCTGATCCCCAGCTCTGCTGAAAGTTCCTTATTGAATGCAGCGTTCCTTGTTCACACCATCCAGACAGGTTTGTGCTGCAATTTACTTACATGGTGGCCTGTCTCCAGCTCTATTTCAGATAGCATCTCCACTCCTTCCCACAGGGCAGGAGGGCCAACGGGGAATTCTGTTACCTGAGCGGGTGCTTTCAGGACTATCTCCTTTGTCATTGCTTCACAGGGAGTGTGGGGTGGTTAGACCTGTGTCTTTGAAAAATCCAAACTTCCATGTCCTGATCAATTTAGGTCTCTGAGACTGTATTAGTAGTAAGAATGGTATTGAGTGTCACCAGTGTGCTGGGCACTTGATGTATATCTTTTTTTTTTTTGAGACAAAGTCTCACTATGTTGCCCTCGGTAGAGTGTTATGGCGTCATAGCTCATAGCAATCTCAAATTCCTAGGCTCAAGTGATCCTCCTGCCGCAGCCTCCCAGGTAGCTGGGACTAGAGGCGCCAACCAGAATGCCCAGCTATTTTTTGTTGTTGTTGTTGTTTTTGTTGTAGCTGCCTCTGTTGTTTGGCAGGCCCAGGCTGGGTTCGAACCTGCTAGCTCTGGTGTATGTGGCTGGCATCCTAGCTGCTGAGCTACAGGCGCTGAGCCTGTGTGTATCATTTTTAGTTCTTAAGTCGTGCATGGTAGCTACTTTGCAATCCTAGTGAGGGTATTGAGAAAACGGGATCTGAAGGGGGTCGAGGACTGCAGGGTCATGCTGTGAATAATGTGTGTGCAGACATAACAGAGTCTGCTCTGTGGCAGTACAGGTAGGTACTAAGTATTTTGTTTTTAATACTTTTTTATGATTATGAAAATGTTTATCACAAAATACAGGCATTATAGAAATGTATGTCAGAAAAAAAGACAAACAAAAAGAAATGTGTATCAGAAAGTAGAAGTTCCCAGACTCTCCTTATCCATTTCCTATTCTTTTGAGGTAACTAAATGGCTGTTTAATTCTCTGTATCGTTTATATGTGCATACAAGTTTAGGCTCCATGATTTAAGTGATCATCAAAACCAAAATACAAGTAATTTTAATTTTTAAATTTATATTTTCTCTATACAATAAGTATCTATGTCAGTGGTTCTCAACCTGTGGGTGGCAACCACTTTGTAACAATGAAAATACATCTCGGTATTAGGAAGGCCGAGAACCGCTGATCTCTGTGGTCCAAGTTTCAAAGGGTATGTCATGAAATCTGCCTCTGCCCTTCCCCCCAGCTACCTGGTTTTCTTTGCTGGAGGCAGCTTCTTAGTATTCCAGAAACTACTATGTGCATATTTTTCTTAATTTTTACATAAGTCTATAACACATTCTGTGTTGAACTTTTACTTTTTTGATTTTTTTTTTTTTTGAGACAAAGCCTCAAGCTGAGCCCCTGGGTAGAGTGCCATGGCTTCACTGCTCACAGCAACCTCCAACTCCTAGGCTTAAGCGAGTCTCTTGCCTCAGCCTCCCAAGTAGCTGGGACCACAGGTGCCCACCACAACACCTGGCTATTTTTTGGTTGTAGCCATCATTGTTGTTTGGCGGGCCCGGGCTGGATTCAAACCCACCACCTTAGGTGTATGTGGCTGGCGCCTTAGCCGCTTGAGCCACAGGCGCTGAGCCACCTTTATTGATTTTTTGAAACTGAGTCTCACTTTGTTACCCTCGGTAGAGTGCTGTGGCATGATAGCTCACAGCAACCTCAAACTCTTGGGCTCGAGTGATTCCTTTGTCTCAGCCTCCCGTCTCACTTGGTTTTTTTTTTTTTTTTTGAGACAGAGTCTCACTATGTTGCCCTTGATAGAATGCTATGGTGTCACAATTTACAGCAACCTCTTGGGCTTAAGCAGTTCTCTGCCTCAGCCTCCCAAGTAGCTGGAACTGTAGGCACCCACCACAATGCCTGGCTGTTTTTTTGTTGTAGTTGTCATTGTTGTTTGGCAGGCCTGGGCTGGGTTCGAACCCACCAGCCTTGGTGTATGTGGCCGGTGCCCTAGCCGCTGAGCTACAGGTGCCCAGACATGGGGTCTTACTCTTGCTCAGGCTGGTCTCCAACTCCTGAGTTCAGGTAATCTACCTGCCTTGTGCTAGGATTACAGGTGTGAGCCACTACACCTGGCCTGAACTTTTTTGTTGTTGTTTTATTATTTATTTATTTATTTATTTATTGCAACTCTGCCGGGACGCAAACTAGCCTGAACTTTTAAAAAAACAATATATCAGTACAAAAAGAGCTACCTCATGTTTTAGAAATTCTTTTTTTTTTTTTTTGAGGCAGAGCCTCAAGCTGTCCCCCTGGGTAGTGTGCCGTGGCATTAGAGCTCACAGCAACCTCCAACTCCTGGGCTCAAGCGAGTCTCTTGCCTCAGCCTCCCAAGTAGCTGGGATCACAGGCGCCCGTCACAACGCCCAGCTATTTTTCGGTTGTAGCCGTCATTGTTGTTTTTGGCGGGTCCAGGCTGGGGATTTGAACCCGCCACCTTAGGTGTACGTGGCTGGCGCCTTAGCTGGTTGAGCTATAGGCGCCAAGCCTGTTTTAGAAATTCTTAATTTGAAATGATCACAAACTTATACTAAACTTGTATATGTGGTCTAAGCTTTTTAGAGTAAGTTGCCAACTTGATGCCTCACCACCTCCAGAAACTTCAGTGTATGATTCCTACAAATGAGGACTTGCTTTGATATAACCACTGTGTGTAACCAGCAGCATCAGGGTGTTAACATTTACACAGTCGGGGACTCCTCAGGCCCCATTCAGGTTCTGCCAGGTGGCCCAGGGATGTTCCTTCTAGCCAAAGGAGCTAGTTCAGGGTTTCAGACAGCATTCGGTTGTTGTGTCTAGTTCAGTCTGGAACAGTTCCTCAGTTTGTCCTTGACTTCCAAAACTTTGATACTTCTGAAGATATCTTTTGGGAAGACTTTGACATTTTTCCCATTACTTTATCAAATGTCAGTTTGGGTCTGTCAGGTACAGTGGAACCTCCATAATTGACCCGGCCTGTACTGCCTCCGTCCTTAAGTGAGCTAATTTTCATAGACCAGACATGTACCATATGTACATAGCAGTACAGTGGGCCTCTTTCCTTGGGTTGAGCACCTCCATACGTTGACCAGTTTGTTACAGTCCCTTGTGTGGGTACTTTACAGAGGTTCTGCTGTATTTAACTATGATGAGATTCAGGTTGTACTTTTTTCTCTTTTCTTTTTTTTTTTTCTTGAGACTAAGTCTCACTCTGTCACCCTGGGTAAAATGCCATGGCGTCATAGCTCAGCAACCTCAAACTCCTGGGCTCAAGCCATCCTTTTGCCTCAGCCTCCTAAGTAGCTGGGACTAGAGGCACCCACCATAATGCCTGGCTATTTTTTAGAGATGAGGGTCTCACTCTTGCTCATGCTGGTCTCAAACTTGTGAGCTCAAGCAGTCCACCTGCCTTAGCCTCCCAGAGTGCTAGGATTACAAGTAGGAGCCACCACACTTGGCCTTCTTTTATTTTTTTTTGTATAGTTTTTGGCCAGGGCTGGGTTTAAACCCACCACCTCTGGCATATGGGGCTGGTGCTCTACTCCTTTGAGCCACAAGCAACGCCCTTTTTATTTTTTGGCCTTCATTTTTTCTTTTCTTTTTTTTTTATACTTCCAAAAGCTTACAGGTTGTGTGGTTTTGAAAGAAATATGCCAAGAGTTGTCCTCATCTTGGCTTTTTTCTGCTTCATACACAGTGGTGGATCTGTTTCCTTCCTGACGTGTGTGACGGGGTGCTGCTGGTGCTGCTGCAGTTAGCACGTACAGCATGTCAGTGTTTCAGTCTGTCTGTAGGAGGATCCCAAGAAACGGTATTACTGAGTGTTGGGATCCGTGCATGTGGTGTTGAGAGAGAGAAGGATACACTTAGTCACATTTCCTCCAGCAAGCCTGTGTTGTGTTGTGTACCTTCTGGTGGCTGGGGACTTTCTGCCCAGTGGTTTTATTTGACATTGCATCTTAGAAGTAAGGGGAAGACAAAGGGGCTTGCCTAGTGGTAGAACACGGATCCTGGTTTTTGTTGGTAGTGAATAGTAAAGTTGCATCGTCATCTCTATGTTTTCTGCATTCTTGAATTCCTTAGGGCACAGGAGGGAGCCAG